ATCACAGCTTGTCTGTGTACTTTGTAGTCCTGGGTAGTTTACTGAACTGCTGTTTAAATTTTTTTATCTGTAAAATACAGGTGACAATAGCGTTGTTGTGGGGGTTAAATGAAATACTCTGTCAAACTGTTTAGCTCAGGACCTGGGACATATAAATACTCAATGAATGTTAAAATTATTGTAATAATACAAAAGTGCAAGCAATTTCTCAAAATTGGTTTTGTTTTAAAACTAAGCTTTTTTAGGGTTAACAAATGATATCATCAGTGAGAGAACTAAAAGCCATCCTTGGTTTGACTTTGAGTCACCCTTTTGCCTTTGCTTTTTTTTTTTTTTCCTTTTCCTGTGCCTATCTCAAAGGACATATTTTTGTTTTAATTTGGTTTTACTACTTTACGTTTTTGTTTTGTACCCTCTTCAGTTGATAGGAATGACACTGGGTTTTTCTCAGGTGCTTTTCCTACTATTATAAAAACTGTTAACCTGGACTGAGACAGGACAAGTTCAAGTTCCCATGCCAGTCTGGACAATTTAGTGACACTTTGTCTATAAAATAAAAAGGTTAGGGCTGGAACTCAATAATAGAATGCCACTGGATTAAATTCCCAGTATTACGAGTAAAATAAAACACCCAAAACTTAAGTCTGACAACCTTACTATTAGTTGGTTTTAATATTTGAATTGTTACTGTATTCATATTTAGATTTTTGAAATATGTGCTATTTTAAAGCAGTTCTGATTGTTTTACCATTTTTAGCTGTTTGTATCTAGATTTTTCTGCACTTCAATTGTTATATTTAGAGTTATGTTTTACTACATTAAAATGTTATTCCTTGATATTATAGATATATGACAGACAGAAAGAGTGAATAGTTTATGGCACTTCTAAGTAATTATCAGTTCCCTCCTATGTGAGTCATTAGTACATTAGTTTAGAAAGTAGAAACAGCATGTAAGGTACCTTAAGATACCTTATGCTGATATTAGTTTGAGTGATTACTATTGTACTTATTATAGTGATCGCCAGTGATAGGATTTATCCTAATTGTCACTCTTTCAATTAGAACCCCTTGTATTGCCAGTGATGGAAAACTTGGTCCCAGTGGCTGAAACAGTGAAAGCTTTCCTGGCTCACATAGTTGAGAAGTTCATTGGAGGGACAGGCATCTGACTTAGTTGTGTAGGGAGGATTTGGGCTCTTTTTTGTCACCAGTGTTTCTGTAAGATTTTTTTAGCTCCTGTGTGTAAACAGGACACTGCAAGAAGCTCCATGTGCATTAGGAGAGGGATGGAGAGACAGAAAGACAGCAGAATTACTTCTCTGCCTGCATCACATACAAGAGTAGTGAGGTTCACGGTAACAGGCCTAGATCCATGACTGTCCACTAGTGATGCTTCTGGCCAGGACTGATGGAAAGTACATCCTGGCACTCAGTTAAAACCCTTGCTGAAGCTGGGATGTGGATGAGCTTTCTGGGTCATACGGGCTATGCAGGAGAAGGGCAGATAGCCAAGAAAATCTTGAGAACTGTTAGGAAGGGGGAACAGAAAAAGATGTTAGAAAAGCAAACATTGCAACACATTCTCTCATTCTCTGCAAAAATAATCTTCACTGGTTTGAATAGCATTTATTCAACAAACATATAGAGGGTCTTACTGCATGTTAGACCTTATTCAGTGCCATATGATAATACAAAGACCAATGGTATGTCCTTGGAGTTCTCATTACTGTCAGAAATAGATACATAAATCAGTATAGGATAAATTGTTAAGTGCTCTAATGAAAGGATAAGCAAAGTCCTGTTGACATTAATGAGGAAGGCTCCATAAGGAGAGGACACTGAAATGAGGCAGGGTTTTCCACACAGGAAAAGGGCCTCTTCTGTGACAGTCTTCAGGGAGTCCAGAATAGAGGGCTTACCCCTGACTGTGATACACTGAGCCCTGTGCGCTGCGTGAGGGGAGAGAAGTATTTCTTCAACATTAATAGCCTTAGTTGAAATCTCAGAGCTAGCGCCTCAAAATTTCCTGTTTTCAGGAACATTCTAGTTTGAGAAGCACTGATATCATTTTCCTATCTTTATTTTCATTTTGACATTTCAAATTTCCTTGTTGCCACTAAAATTATCTTATTGTCCTCAGGAAGATGGTGATGATCTTCTTTTAAAAGCTGAAAAAGATAATCGTCAAAAGCTGTCTGGAATTCTTCAGCGTATTCTCTTGCTTTTCCGGGCAGCTCGTTGTTCTTTTCCTGTAGCACAGTGGTACATCTTGCGGCTGAGGTGGGCAAGGAAGGTCATGCAGAAGGTATGTAGATGTCCAGGTCATTCATGTGCTGTGTTCACAAAGTGAAAGATAGTAGTATTTATATTTTAGTAGTACTTCACTTCTGAAGTGTCCTCCTTTTTGAACCCATGAATTTCATGCTAATTTACCATAGGCAACCTAGAATGAGTGGGTTATTTCTACCGATAAAGACTTTGAGGGGCCCGGGAGATGGGGCAGTAGAATAAGTGCTTCCCTGGCAAGCGCAAGGGCCTGAGTTCAATCCCTGGTTTCACCAAGAAAAAAGACTTTGAAGTGAGTCTCAAGGTTAGTTCCATCCTGCCTGGCTGTAGACAGTGTGGTCTAGTCAGTTAATTCCAGGAATTACCGTACTTTCTCCCCTCATAATCAGTGAAGATTAAACTCAGTTCCCTGTTCTCCCCTATTTCCTGAGGTGTAGTCTCTGTTGTGTGGGGACTTCACTGGGTTTGGGAATGGAAAGTTCTTAGCTGTTTCCTGTCAGAGTCTCCCTAAGTTTGGCTCTCCATTTTGCTGTCTTCTGAGAGCAGTTCAGTTTGTCCTGGAGCTGTCATCCCCTTTCCTATTGACTTCATGAGCTGTAACTGTATTCTTGTACTCCATCTGGGCAGAACATTCAGTATGTCTCCTTATCCACTTGCAAGTCCTGTCTTACCAGGTATTTTTGAAGATTAGCCTATTTTTGAGAGAAAGAAAGTTTGTAAAGTTTACATCTAGTTCTTATACAAATATAAAACCACCCGTATGCTCTATCTGTATCAACGTAGTGGAGACCAGAAAGATTAGTGGTTGCCAGTGGCTAGAGAGGGGGAAATGAACAGTGACAGCTAATGGTTTTTTCTTAGAGTAATAAAAATATCATGGGATTAGAGAGTGGTGGTGATTGACTGACTATGAATATTCTAAAACCACTGAATTGTACATTTGTTATTTACTTTCTAATATTGAGGCTTATAACCAGATCTTTCATACTAGGCCATATCCCCAGCCCTGTCTCAGTTTTTTATTAGAAGAAAGATCTCCCTAAGTTGTCCTATTTAGTCTCAAACTTGTGATCTTCCTGCCTCAGACCCAAGGGTACAAGGATTAAAGGCATGTGCCACCAAGCCTAGTGAATTTTACATTTTTTAAAAATTTTATTTATTTGTGTGGGGGGGGGCAGCTCAGCCCACCAGGGGGCAGGGCTGGCTGGCATGTGGTGCTGGGGGATTGAACCGCGGTCCCTGTGCTTTGTTAAGCTTGTTCTAAGTAGGTGCTTTAGACACTGAGCCATCTCACCAGCCCAAATTTTACATTTTTAAGAGATTTCAGATAGGTGTGGTGGTGTGTGCCTGTAATTCCAGTGCTCAGGAGGCTGAGGCAGGAGGATCATTGTGAGTTCAAGACTGGCCTGGGCTACAAAGTGAGCTCTAGGCCAGCCTGAACTAAATAATAAAACCCTGTCTCAAAATTTAAAAAAAAAAAAAAGGTTAATTTTATGATATTTGAATTTTGTCCCAATTAAAAGTACTAGATTTTGCACTGTAGAGTCTTCTGTGCTGATTATCACAAATTTAACAGTTTATACCAATATCTATTCTGAAAACAGCATCTGCTGGGCATAGTGGCACACACCTGTAATCCCAGTATTCGGGAGGCTGAGTGTCAAGTTCGAGACCATCCAGAGCTACAAAATGAGTTCAATTCCAGTCTAAACTGTACAGCAAGACCCTGCTCCCCTCAAAATATCTATTATCTCCCCATCTCTGCATCGGAAGTCTGTTAGCTCAGCTGGGTCTGGCAGAGCCTCACAAGGCCAGTCAGGGTGGTAGCAACACTGCATGTCCCGAAGTGGCTCTAGAGAAACATCCATCTTCAGCTTATACCCATTTCTAGCTTCATTCAGGTCTTTGGCCAAGTTCAGTTCATATGGCTGTAGGACTGAGGCCCCATTCCTTGCTGGCCCTGCTTCCTAGTGCCATCCTGCTAGTCAGTGCCATGAATGTGTTTCACATGGACACTGTCTTGTATGCTTATAAAGGAATGTGATAGGTCATGTCTTTCTATAAGGTAACTAGTAAAGGACAAAGTAGATTGCAAGAGGCCTACTGGCAATCCGTCCCTCCTACATTTATGTATCTTAGATCCCTTTTCCTTCATCTATAATTTTTCTTTTTTCTAATTCTTGATTTGTTAGGTAATTTGTACTGTACTGTACTCTAGATTTCTTTGATCATTTCTTCATTCAATAGTGTCACTTAACTTATTCTTTATTTTCCTATAAACCAGTAATGGATCTATACTCATCATCAAGGTAGAGAGATTTGATTATATTTAGTCTCAGGTGTTTTCAGACATTTTCTCTGACTTGTTGCCCTTCATTTGTGGCAGCCATGTCCGTTCACTTCACTTTCAGATCAGTAATGAGATTGATGAAGGAGTTTGGGTTATGTCAACCTTCTGTCTGGTTCTGCATGAACCTACCAAATTCTTACTTTTTTAAGAGTTTCCAAATGATTTTTAAATTCTGTTCTTTATAGATTAATATTTTTAAGTTATTTTTGTAGATGAAATTTTGTAATTATTTTCAGGTGGTCATAGTTTATTTTGGATAAAATATAGGCATTTACATTACTTTCTTTGTCATCGCCTGAGAAAGCCAAGGATAAAGAATATTGAATTCTTTTTTTTTTAATTTTTATTTATTTATTGTGTGTGTGTGTGTGTGTG